ATTAATATCCCACATTCATAGGCAAAGAGCATAAGGTCAGAGAGGGGGACGGTGGCAGTTATGTTACCAGGAGAGGGCCATGGAGCTTAGCAGAAGCCAGGTCACTTGTCCATAAGCTGTAGGCTTTTAATGTTATTTTCTCTCCTAATCCCTGTCCTATGGGAGTAAAACTGAGAGGCAGGGTGTGTGACTACAATGCTCCTGTCTTGGGTTATGTTGAAAGGTCTGTTATTGGGCCCTGAATAATCAGAGTTTGACTTCCATCTCCTCTATCTTCAGCTCTGAGGTCTTGAAAACAATCCTTTAGCCTCTCTCATCTTTCCTTTCCTCACCCTTAAAATGGATACGGTCATACCAACATTTATTGATCAGTGATGCTTGATAGAGACAACATTCTACACATTATAGCATTTAATTGCCCAATAAACATGTAGGACTAAAACATGTTAAAAGAACAAGTTATGTGCACTAAGTACTGTATTAAGATCACAGAGTTGTGCTCTTTACTGCACCCGCAGTGCCTCTCAAAATAGTTGGAAGAATTAAATGAGGTATTAAGTGAAGTGAGGACTTTGTAAATATCATTCTACAAAGGTAAAAATTATAAGACATTAGCTCCACGATTCATGTAAATTATAGGCCTGATTGGGTCTTATATGTCTCTTACAATCCTCAACTTCATTTAATAGTATTTTTCCCTGCAGAATCACAAGGTCTTTCCAAGTCAAAGCGTAACGATTTCTATATCTGAAGAGAGAACAGAAATGGTTCTGAAATAAATTGCTTTTGAAAACCAGGCGCTTCTGCACTGAACTTCAGTTGTTGTCAGTCACTGAGTCCCCCTGTAGAGTCAGGTTAGAATGCAGCCTTCTTCTTCAGCCCGAACCTGCTCATAGCATCGGAGACTTCTCAGGATGGTGTGCTCTCACCCCTCCCCTCTTCTCAGGCTCTCTACCTCCTGCCACCCTCGTGGAACCCAGACTGACTGCCTGCCTGTTATGGGAGAAAACTCCATAGCACAGAAGTTGAGGGCAGAAGGTATTTCTTCAGTGTAGGGGGAAGAGGATCTCAGTATTTGACAGAAGGAGAGGAACCAGAGGACTGTAGAGATTTCTTCCTTTGTCTTCTCTCCAAGCCTTGAGGGGGTAACCCCCAATCACCCTTTATCTTTAGGGCCCTCCTTAGGGGCCTCCATGGTGCACACATTCTGTATTCGCTCCTCCCATCTCCTTATGGAAGAGAACAGAACCTCTCAGATTTATTTCTTCATCCTCATTTCTGGGGAAAACAAGGATAGAACCAAAGTTCTTCTGAGTTTTATTGCTAAAACTAAGGAAAAAGGACAGAGATGACACATAGTGGGAAAGTTTAATGACACGTGAAATCTCATGTCTTAGAATAAGCACTCACCCTACAGAAAGAGAGTCTCTGTCCTCTCCATCTGGGCTTCTGGTCCAACTCATCTCTTTCTTCTCTTGGAACTAGCCAAGCCTAGGCTTCACCTCAGTTTTAATTCCAGCAGCTACTGAAAATCCTTCAAATTCGGTAGAGGGCGACAAAGGTACACACAGATGATCAGAGCGAGTTGGGAGCTGAACCTCCGGATCCCGAGGCTACAGTCTTTGTCCCTATTTTCCTCCTCCCTGTCTGCCAATTTCACTCTCAATTCTTACTTTACTTATGAGATTACACTACAACTGGATATTTGATAAATAAAGTCCATAGGGATTACAGTGTTTAAACAGCTGATCTTCAAATGGGGAAAAATCATTTGAGTACTTCAGGTCACAGGTTGTCATAATAAAAAATATCAGAGATGGAGTAAAGAGTGAAAACGTAAATATTTCAAATGATAGGAGAAGTAGAAGAAAATAGAATATTCGCCAAGTCCTAGCCTGTGTTAAGGACTGCTTGACAGCTGGACAAAGAAAAATACCAAGAGAGTTGGATGTATAAAAACTAGAACTTCTGTATATATAAAATCAAGATAAATGAATAAAATGGCAATCTACACAGTAGAGATTACAATTATAATATATCACACAACTTCATTTAAAAAACTCATTATGGGGCCGGGCATGGTGGCGCACGCCTGTAACCCCAGCACTCAGGAGGCCGAGACAGAGGGATTGCTATGAGTTCGAGACCAGCCTGGGCTACGTAGTGAGTTCCAGGTCAGTCTCAACTACATGGTGAGACCCTGTCTCAAAAAATATTATGTTCTTCACAAATTGGATAACAACAACAACAAATAACCACACACAGAGATATGAAAAAGTGAATTAAATTAAGAAATAAGCCTTTAATTAAATGTACAACTGATAATGGCTGAATAATGCAAACTATAGCAGTGAGGTGACATTTCTTTTGCTCACCAAGCTAGCAGCAACACAGTATTTTTGTGATAATATCTAAAGCCGGTCAAGGTGCTTCAGATAAGCCCCACCCATCTGTTGGCCTTAACAGGGACTGGACTCAGGACTGGCACTTGGGAGGCAGGTGCAGTGCCACTGAGCTAAATCCCTGGGCCCCATAGGCCCTTTTGTACACACACTAACGTGCTATTGCATGGTAGCATATGGTAGCACAACAGAGTGTGCTATGGAAAGGTGTACTGAGAGACTTCAAAATGTTCATACTCTGCCAGGCATGGTGGGGTATAGAGGCCAGCCTGGACTACATAGTGAGACCCTGTCTCTTGAAACAAACAAACAAAAATTCATACTCTTTTGTTTCCATATTTTACTTCTGTGAATATATCATAATGGAATAACAATTTTTTAAAATCTACCTGTTTTGGGTACTGGGGATCGAACTCAGGGCCTTGTGTGGTGTTGCTGTGCTAAATCCCTGGCCCCTGGAATAATAATTATATAAAAGCTATATACCTAAGGATGATTAAAATATAATTTAAAAATTAATATATAAGATATTTTGTTACAGAATATAAAATAATATTTTAAAGTGGAAATAAGCTAAAATTTCAACAAAATAGAATTGGTCAAGTATATTTTGACTATGTCCACTTGAGGAACTAGCATACAGATACTTCAAATGATGGTTATAAAATCTAGGAAACCATGAAACAAAAATAGAGGAGTAAATTTCTATGTGAGATATGATTTCTGCTATGGTTAAAAATAGAGAAATTCTTATGGTTAAGAATTGCTTTCTTCGCTGTGGTTTCCAAAAAAGCTTATATAACTATTACACAAACACAAGTACACACAATGTTATGCACGCACATAGAAGACATAGGTGAAAGAGGAAAGATCGGTTGCGTCACACTTATGGGGCAGCACAGAGCCCCCCCTGCTAACGGGGCATACAATGGGGTTCCAGATGTCATGTACATCTTCAAGGACAGATTGCCAATCAGAATTTTTCCTACATCTTTGTCAGAGGAGCAGATTTGTCCTAAAATATGTTTAATTTTGGAGGCTTCATGCAATCTAGAAAAACAACTTGATGAAAAGTAGTGAGGTTTTGGGGTAAAATAACACACACTGAGTGTGTGTCAGTTAATGTCAGATTCTTATAAGTAACCACACCACAGAGGGAGGGCCTTGGGATGCCTCTGATGCAGGATTTTAGGACCTATTTCCTTCTTTGTGGTGCTGGCTCCCAATTTCTTGTTGACAGAAGCACAGATAGACTAAGATGCCTACAATCAGATGTGATCATCCTAAGATCAGAGCGGAATCTAGGAGAGGACCCGAGGCCTAATGCCCGGGTGTGTCCCTCTCCTGAGAAGCATTGGGGATAGATGTTCTGGACACTGGAGTCTTTGACCACCGATCCACTTGTGCTCCTTTCTAGGGCTCTCAGAATGTATATTTCAAATACATCCCATCCTCCCTCTTTTCTTTCCTCTTTATTCTTCCTTTTCCTTTCATTTATCTTCCTCTTCTTTCCTCTTTCCTGCCTTCTCGATTTTATTTGGCTTGTTCTTTTTTCACTGCAGACAGACTTATGGAGAACGTGCTTTGGGCTAGTACCATGCTGGGCTTGCCCTCTGGTGCGTGCTGTCGACTGGGGAAATAGGTGAGCAGTGTAGGCGTTACAGTCGAGTGTAAGAGAGGAGATAAAAGAGGTAAGTCAGGGAACCAGGGAAGCGGAGGAGGAACAACCAACCCAGACGGCAGAGGGAGGATGGGACTTCCGGAAGGATGTGACATCCAAAAGGTCCAGGCAAAAGGAAAAAATGGAAACAAAGTCTTTGTAAATAGGGGAGGGTGGACGGGGTGAAGGGAGGGTGGGGGTATGGGGAAAAATGAGAATTAAGATCTGACGTGTAAAGGTACAAGATCCCAGTGATGAATGTAACTGTACTGTATGCTTAAAAAGTACCAATAAACCCAACAAAAAAGAAAGAAAGAAAAAAGGTCCAGCAAAGGGTCAGTGGGTATTCTTATGGGACAATGTATCCTTGGTTGCCTGTTTAACTCAAGGTGAGGCTTGAGTTGTGTGCGTGTATGCATGTGTGTAAAAGGTACCAAATGGTAAAACCTGTGAATCAGGAGAGGCAAAGAGGAAGAAAGAGAATGGGAGAGAAAGGAGGAGGAAAAGACATTCAAAAAATGAAAGAAAAAGTTGCAAGAGAAGAAAAAAGCAGCCAAGGAGAAGGAGTTTGGTTAGAGCTGAATGGCGAGATATGAGTGCTTAGAAACCCAAGGGTGGATTCTTGGGAAACTGATATGTGGAGTTTTCCCTGGGCCTGGACCTGAGCCTGGGTAGAGGAGGGTCATGGTGCCATTGCTACAACTCAATTCTGAGGAAAGGGAATCATGCTAAGCATTGCAAATTTCAAGGCAGAGAGAGACCCAGGCAAGCTGGATAGTCAGAAGTCTTCCTGGAAGAGGTGAGTACTGCGAGCACCTGCAGGAATGGACTGTGCCGGGATGGATGGCGTCTGGGCAGGTCCCGCCCGGGTGTGCAACGTGGGCTCTGCAACGTGGGCTCTGCCTGTCTGGGGCTGACAGCGTACCCGTGCATTCCAGGGCTCAGGATGCTGGTGCTGCGAGCTGTTCTACTGCTGTTAGCCCTGCCCAGCCATGCTGAGGAAACCACGAGTGCAGGGCCAGGAGCCCTGCTTCCGCTACCCAAGGGGGCCTGTGCAGGTTGGCTGGCGGGCATCCCAGGGCATCCTGGACACAATGGGATCCCAGGCCGTGATGGGAGAGATGGCACCCCTGGCGAGAAGGGCGAGAAAGGAGATGCAGGTAAGAATGAGGTTTTGCATTCCTTCATCATGGCCTCTCCTGGGTGGAAGAGGCCTCTAAGGCTTAGACACAGGGAAGAAGCAAAGCTTTTTCATGTAACACATAAGCAAACTACAATGGATTTAGGGTTGATCTTCCAGGAGAAAGATTAGGTAACGCCCCTATATCCAAGTACACTTGGACTCTACTCCATCTGCCTCTTCTTCCCCATATTCCCCTCCCCATCTCTGCCCCACCCCAAGCCCAATATGTTCCCACTCCTGTTTTTCTTTCCCTCTCAATCCCTGTGTCATCCAGTGGCTTTTATTTACTGCATGACCCTGAGGGTCTCCCCAGCTTTTGTAGGCCTTTGGTTCCAAAATAGAAGACTCTTGGTAATCACTAGATGAAAGTCTACTCCAACTATGCCAAATTACATGTGCACAAATCCCCCAAATCACACATGAAACAAAAACACAAAAGCAATAACAAAACCAACCAACCAACCAACCAAATAAACCCAAATCCTCAAAGTGTGGGACGCAGAGAGAATGCCCTCAATGCAGATCTGGAGGCAGTGTCATTCTGGAGGCAGCGCTTGAGCTGGGCCTTAATGGATGTGCAGGCAGAATAGAGGAAAAGGCAACTGGGGTTGGCAGAGCCAGTATACAAAGGGCTGGCAGGGTGGAGGGTCTACAGTGGAGACCTGTGGCTTGGAGATGAATTTATGGGAACTTGCTGGACTGTGGGAAATGTGGAGAGACCCTGGACAAGTAAATTAATGAATACATGAATGACTAAATGGTTGAAAGATGTTCAGAACACTGAAATGGTCAGTGAGCGAGAGCCTCCACCAGGCCAAGCAGCCCAAGAGTCAAAGAACCATCAACGAGCTTTCAGTAGAGTTGACGTTGATCTCATTAGCTAGTTTGAGGGTTCTGAACATTATTCATTGGTTCATTCATTCATCATGAGCTCTTTTAAAGAGATTTTTTGGGTGTATATTAATTTTATAAAACATTGGGTTTCAGTGTGGTGTGCCATTTTCACACATGCACATAACATATTTTGGCCATATTCACCCCTATTATTCTCCTTTAAACATCCCACCCTCTCCCCTTTATTCCCTTCCCTTTGTCTAACGGTAGTGTCAAGAGCCTTTTCATGGGTTGGAGATGAATTTGTTGGGAGCTGCTGGTCCTTAAGGAAGGTGGAGAGAGGAGATGACATCTCTCCTTTCTCTGTCAAGCAGGCTGTGGTCAGAGGTCCCAGGGACAGTGGTTTCAGCTGGAAACAACCAATGCACATGTCCTTTTCCTTGTGGTCACCGAAGTCTTCTTATTCTGTAGGTCTTATTGGTCCTAAAGGTGACAGTGGTGAAACTGGAGTGACTGGGGTTGAAGGTCCTCGAGGTTTTCCAGGAATCCCAGGCAGGAAAGGTGAACGTGGAGAAAGTGCTTATGTGTACCGCTCAGCATTCAGTGTGGGGCTGGAGGCCCACGTCACCGTCCCTAATGTTCCCATTCGCTTTACCAAGATCTTCTACAATCAGCAGAACCACTATGATGGCACCACCGGCAAATTCCACTGCAACATTCCTGGGCTGTACTACTTCTCCTACCACATCACAGTCTATCTGAAGGATGTGAAGGTCAGCCTCTTCAGGAAGGACAAGGCTGAGCTCTTCACCTATGACCAGTACCAGGAGAAGAATGTGGACCAGGCCTCTGGCTCTGTACTCCTCCATCTGGCTGTGGGTGACCAAGTCTGGCTTCAGGTGTACGGGGATGGAAACCACACTGGACTCTATGCAGACAATGTCAACGATTCTACCTTCACAGGCTTCCTTCTGTACCATGACATTGATCTCTCTTAACTCAGAGCCTCCATCAGGCTACACAGCCCAGAAGTCAATTAAAGCACAGTCAACAAGCTTTCAGCATAGTTATGAGATTGATTTTGCTGTCTAATTTGAGTTCTGAACATTATCCCTTCATTCATTCTTTCATTCATCAAGTGCCTTTTTCTAAAAATCACATACTATAGTCCTGAAGAAGACCTGGTCCTTTTAGGATCTCTTATGTAGTAGCAACATTGGACAGTAATAACATTTACTGGCGGGCTTCATGTACATGATATGGTAACAACTAAAAGGAAGTAGTTGACAATGCTATTTTGTGCCCATTGTCCCAGGAAAGATGCACTTCTCTTTTTTATAGTGGGGTTGAGACAGTTAAGTGAATGTTTTAGGTCACACACAGGTATTAAATGGCAGAGCTAAAGATGAAACCCAGAGTCATGGACTCTTCCCATTAACTGTGCCCTTTTGTGGAAGTGCATGGAGTCTTTGGAGTGTCAATGGGGGATCTGTTCCCTCACCAAGGGCCTCTGAGTCTGGCTTCATCAAGTTAAAAGTTTTCCCCAGCAGAACTGGGATGACCCTGTGATGAGTTGCAGCCCAGCCCTGCTCTGTGGTTTCTCTTTCCTGTATCTCCTTGCACACTCTTCCCCCTAGAAGGGAAAATGGCTTGCACTTCCCCATGCTGAATTCCGCTGTGTTCCTCCTGGCTAGGAGCTTCCATGATGCTTTCCTGTCTTAGTTGCTTTCTTGTTCCTGAGACACAATACCCAACTTAAAGGAAGAGAGGTTGGTACTGGCTCATGGTTTACTGCATAGACGACTGGCTCCAAGGCAACATGGCACAGCACGGGGGCAAGGCAGAGGAGTAGCTGCTCGCCTGGCATGGCAGACAGGAAGCAGAGGCTGAAGGGAGGAACTGGCAGGGACATGAACCCTTGGAGGCCACACCCCAGTGACCTATCTCTTCTGACCAGACCCTGCCTGCTAATAGCAAGTTAGCTTCAAGTCCCATTAATCCAGTCATCTTCCAAAAGTCCCACCTACGAACACACAAAGATCTTGAGGGACATCTGTACTTCCAGGACTCCTCTACGTTTAGCTATTGCTGAAAACCCTGGGTGTGGAGACATCTGCCCCCGAGAGGTCCTTACTCTGCAGTAAGGACGGTGCTTCCTTCACCTCTGAATCCTTCACAGGTCCTTAACAAACGTCTGCTGAAGACCAATCTCTTGAACTCCATATCTACCCAGAATTAACTCCATTTCAATCTCTCCACATAACCAATTTTTATTTATAAAAGCACTTTCATTGTAGTAATTTCATTGTTCACATCAAAGGCTTGAATCTTTTCAAAACTCTGATGATAGGGATAATTGTGCTTTCCAGAACATTTAAAGAATTCTCCCTCAAAGAGATAGCTTGAGCTCAAAACACAAAACCTATGGAGGAATTTGGAAGTTATTCTTTCCATTGATCCTGGTAAGTTCAGGGAAGATTTGGGCCTCCTGAATTTATTCTTCTTCTTTAAGAATTACAAGTGGTTGGGCCGGGGATTTAGCTCAGTGGCTCTGCAGCCTGCCTTGCAAGCACAAGGACCCTAGTTCAATCCCTGGTACCCCAAAAAAAAAAAAAAAGAATTACAAGTGGTTGATGGTGGTAAATGTTTTTTCAGGATATGATGGTATGAGGGAAGTTCTTCAGGGGTTTTAGAAAGAGCAAAATTAGTAACACAATAAATTAATATAGGAAACATTTTTTGCTTATAGTTTTCAGTACTAGATGATTCCCTTTTATATGTGTATTGCTCTTCATTATGTGATTATTTCTACATATAAAGCTTTGTCTTTTAAAGTGTTTTCGTGTCATTATGTTATGCAAGTAAATATAATATCCGTTATTAAAAATAAAAGGACTTGCTGCACATGACTTTTGTTTTTATTTCTGGAGAAAGGTATGAGGTGTAGAGAGGAATGAAGTTTGTATTAGGACTCTGTTCTAAGTGACAGAAAACCCAACCAAATGGATAGAAAATACTATAGCTGTCTTGGGTTTCTCAGAAGCCCCAGCATGTCCTTATATGTCACTGGCTGTAGTCCAGTTGTGTACTTGTCCAACCAATCACTGGAGCCAGGAGCATAGAATATATTCACTTACTTAAGATTCATTGTGTGGTTCAAGACAGTGTTATTTAGAGACATTTTCCTAAAGCATGACATGCTTTATGAGAAGTGGGAGAAAGGGTGACAGACACAAATTAACACCAGCTCACAACAAACTCGTACTGCTATGGTTGAACTTTCTCAGGCTTCTCAGAGAGATGGGGAGATATTGCTGGAAATTAACTATTGATTTTCTCTAAAATTTCCACAAGTAGCTAATGTCTGGCCATGCTCAAGATTCCCATCCGGTCACAGCGTTTTCATGGTGCTACACTCACTCTAAGCTCTGGGACGGTTTCTTTAGGGAACCAAAGGCACAGAGAGGACCAATCTTCAAAATACCTCCTGAGAGAAACTGTGGCCAGGATTTTTAGCACAAGTGGTCATATGATGTCTTTCAGTATAATTGTGGATTTGTCTTTTTTTTTTTTTTTAGTTCTGACAGGTTTTGCTTCGTGCTGTTTTTGGGCTCCATTGTTTAACTGATACATGTTTAGGATTATATCTTCTTGGTGAACATATCCTTTTATCACTGTGTAATGTCCTTTATCTCTGATAATTTTCCCTGGTTTGAAGTCTACTTTACTTAAAACTAATATCAGCACTCAGTCTTTTTTTAAAAAATTAATTAATTTTATTGGTATACAGTTATTTGTTTAAGGTGTACAAGGTAGTGACATTCATCATTGGAAATTTGCACCTTTACATAATCCATCTTGGTTTGTATTCCCCTGCCCACCCTTCAACCCCTCCATCCCTCCCTATGTACAAAGACTTTGTTTCCACTCTTTCTTTTTCTCATATTAATTCCATTCCCATCTTTCTTTCCCCCCCCTCCCAGTTCCCCTTCCCCTTTGAACCTTTTCTTCCTATTTCCCATTATGTATTATATCTTTTAGTCCTTGTTGACACTTTCAGTTTTGTACACTAGAGAAACTACTCAGCATTTACATTTATCATTCACATTTATTTCACTTGAGTATCACCTCAGTGTGCATCCATTTGGCTATAAATGTACCTAGTTTTTCATTCTTTTTTTTCCTCGTTGAGTTTATGGGTACATTTTAGGTATACAGGACAGTTACATTGAGATCTTGTACCTTTATATGACAGGTCTTGGTTCTCACTTTTTCCCCTTGTCCCTGCCCTCCCTTCACTCTCTCCTCCCCACCCCATTTACAAACACTTTATTTCCATTTTTAATTTTCTCTTATTTTTTTCTTTCCCTTATTACCTTTCCCCTGCCCTTCCCACTCTCCCTGCACCTTTAACCCTTTTCTTCCTATTTCACATGGTCATTTATCTCAGTAGAATCTTACGTACTACTATTCAGTATTGACACATCTGTGACTTATTTACTTCATTTAGGAGTATATCCTCAATATGTATCCATTTTCCTATGAATGAATCTAATTTCTCACTAAACTAAATCCCTGGCCCATTTGTCATTGGTTGATTTCATGATGGCAGCCATTCTTTCTGGCATGAGGTGGAATCTCAGTGCTGTTCTCATTTGCATCTCTTGAATGATCAGTGATGTTGAACATTTTTTCATATGTTTATTTGCTCTTTCTGTTTCTCTGCCTGAGGAATGTCTGTTCATTTCAGATGCCCATTTTTGGATTGGGTCTTTAAATTTGGGAGGTCTGTTTTTTTTTTTTTTTAAGTTCTTTATATATTCTAGATAGTAGACCTTTGTCTGAGGAATAGCTGGCGAAAAGTTTTTCCCACATTGTGGGTTGTCTCTTCATACTATTGGTTGTTCCTCTTGCTGTGCTGAAGCTTTTTAATAAGAAGAGATCCCAATTGTTGATTCTCTGTGCTAGTTCATGGGCAACTGAGATTTTATTCATAAACTCTTTTCCTACACCAATGTCTTCAAGAGTTCTACCTAACCTCTCTTTCAGCTGATGTAGTGTTTCTGTCTTAATATTTAGATCTTGAATCCATTTTGACTTTAGTTTAGTGCATGTTGAGAGATATAGGTCTAGTTTTAACCTTTGGCAAGTTGAAACCCAGTTTTTCCAGCCTCATTTATTGAAGGAGGCTATCTTTCCTCCAGTGGGGGTGTTTGGCTCCTTTGTCGAAGATGAGGTGGCTGTGTGTGCCTAGAGTTGTTTCTGCATCTTCTAATCTGTTCCACTGGTCCTCAGGCCTGTTTCTTTTCAGTACCATGCTGTTTTTTTTAAAAAATCACAGTAGCTTTGTAGTATAGTTTCAAGTTAGGGATGGTGATACCCCTTACCTTGACTTTATTGCCTAGAATTGCTTTTGCTATTCTAGGTCTCTTCTTATTCCAAATGAATTTGTGGATTGTTCTCTCAAGGTCTGTGAAGTATGCTGTTGGGATTTCAGTTGAGATTGCATTGATTGAGTCTATATAGCAGTTTTGGAAGTATGGCCATTTTACTATGTTGATTCTTCCTACCCAGGAACAAGGGATGTCTGTCCATTTTCTGCTATCTTCTTCAACCTCTTTTTTTCATAGTGTTGTAGTTTCCAGAGTAGAGGTCTTTGATTTCTTTTGTTAGGTGGATTCCTAGATACTTCATTTTTTTGGATGCTATTGTGAAAGGAATTGTTTGTCCCACTTCTGTCTCAGTGAGTCTCTTTTTTAAGGTACAGCAAACCTATTGATTTTTGTGTGTTGACCTAGTATCCAGCTACTTTGCTGAATTTGGTTATTAAGTCTAGAAGACTTTTGGTGGAGTTCTTGGGGTCTTTTTTTCCCATTAAGTTTATTGGTACATTTAAAGCAAACAATACAGTTACATTTATCATTGGAATCTTGTACCTTTACATGATATATTTTGGTTCTTGTTTTTTCCCTATTGGGGTCTTCTAAATAGAGTGTCATGTCTTCTGAGAATAATTTTTGGAGGGTTTTTTAAAAAATCATGAATGTGTGTTGGATTTTGTCAAGGCTTTCTCTTCATCTATTAAGATGATCATATGGTTTTTGTCCTTGGCTCTATTAATATAGTGTATTACATTTATTGATTTGTTTATGTTGAACCATTCCTGCATCCCTGGGAATAATCTTTTGATTGGTGTTTGTATGGTGTTACCATTTTCATCATCTTACTTGAAATCTGTGTATATTACTAAATTTAATATGTGTTTCTTTTAAACTGTATGTCTTTAGGCCTTTCTAAAAATTAAATCTGCACATTTTTGTCTTTTGATTGGTGTTTGAAAGTTTGTATTTGGTAAAATTGTTGTTATGGTTGAATTTAAAGTGACTATTTTATTTGTTTTTTATTTGCTACCTCTATTTTATTCTCTTTCCCACCCACTTTTGAATTATTTGAATTTTCATTTTATTTTATTTTATTTGTTGGCTTTTTCACTGTTTCTTTGTGGTATTGTTTAGTTGTTACTCTAGAAACTATAATGTACTCACCAAACTTTTCACAGTATATGTAGAGTTACTATTTTATTATTTCAAGTAAACTATAGAAGACTTATAGCATATAAGTTCTTTTATTATTTTCCCTTTATAATCTAGTTTTTCCTATATTATATCCATATACATTGAAATATTATCATTTTTTTATTTTCAATAGTAATTTTAAGCCATATTTTAAAGAATGAAGAAATGGAAATGAAGTATTTGTAAAGGGGGAGGGAAGGCGGGGAAAGGAGGGCAGGGACAAGGGGAAAAAAATGAGAACCAAGACCTGTCAAGTAAAGGTACAAGATCCCAATAATGAATGTAACTGTACTGTGCACCTAAAATGCACCAATAAATTCAATGAGGAAAAAAAAGAAAAAAATTTGTTCAGATATTTGTCTTTGCTTCTTTATTCTTAAAGTTCCATGTCTCCCTCTGGTATAGTTTCTTCTCAACCTGGAGAACTTTTAGATCAAATCTGTTGGTGATATATTTTTTTTCATCTGAGAATGCCTTAAATACTTGAAGATATTTTAACTTTACTGTTCTCTTCTATTACTTTAAAGGTTTTATTTCACTGTGTTCTGGCTCCATAGTTTCTGATGAGAAATCTGTGGTCATAGTTTCCTTATGTATAATTTACCATTTTTTCTTCTTTGTACTTTTAAGATGAGCATACATACATGTGTGTGAGCATGTGTGCTCATGTGTGTGTGTGTGGTACTGGGGATTGAACTCATGAAGCGCTGAGCTACATTCTTGGTCATTTCTTTTTTTTTTCCTCATTGAGTTTATTGGTACATTTTAGGTGTACAGTACAGTTACATCCATTATTGGGATCTTGTACCTTTACATGACAGGTCTTGGTTCTCATTTTTTTCCCTTGTCCCTGCCCTCCCTTCCCCTCCTCTTCCCCTCCCCATTTACTAACACTTTATTTCCATTTTTTCATTTTGTCATATTTTTTTCTTTTCCCTTATTGACTTTCCCTTACCCTTCCCATTTTCCCTATACCTTTAGCC